AAATGGCCGATAAGCATGTGAGAAGATGCTCAACATCATTAGTGATTAGGGAAATGCAAATCAGAACCACAATGAGATACCACTTCATACTCACTAGAATAGCTAAAATAAAAAAGACACAATAATAAGGGTTGACAAGAATGTGGAGAAATTGGACCACTCATACATTGCAAGTGGGATTGTAAAGTGTCGCAACCCTTTTGGAAAACATTTTGACAGTTTCTCAAAATGTTAAATAAAGAGTTACCATATTATACAGAAATTTTTTACCTTGACATATACCCAAGAGAACTGAAGACATATGTCCACACAAAAATCTGTACACAAATATTCTTGGCAGCATTCTTCATAATAGCTGAAAAGTGTAAACAACCCAAATGTTCATCAATGGGTGAACTGATAATCAAAATATGGTATATCTATACAATGGAATATTGTTCAGCCATAAAAATGAATGAAGTGCTAATACATGCTACAACATGCACAAATCACGAAAACATTACACTAAGTTAAAGAAGCCAGACACAGAGAACCACATATTGTATGACTCCATTTATGAGAAATGTCTAGAATAAGCAAATTCATAGTGACCAAAAGCAGTAGTTGCCAGGGGCTGAGAGGAGGGAGGAATGGAAGTAACTGCTAATGCATACGGGGTTTCTTTTGGGAGGTGACAAAATGTTCTGGAATTAGATAGGAGTTATGGTTGCATACATTGGTGACTATACTAAAACCCACTGACTTGTACACTTCAAATGGTGAATTTTATGTCATGTGAGTTATTTATCAATAAAAAGTAGCCCATGAGAAATGAAAATGTTTGATAAATGTATATCCACTTAAAGAACTATTGTCATGTTTTATAGAAATTAAATCTTCACTAAAAATATAAATTTTCCTTTTGACACTTTTTTTAATGTCATGAAAGGATTATACTAGCAAATATAGCATATTTGATGCATTCCTAATAGGAGAGGTCCTACATAGTGTAAAAAAGCTTATCAGCGTAAATTTTTATGTGTTCTCACATTAAAAACCACACACAGGGGGGACAGTCTGACAGCTGGAGCTAACAGCAGAGCTGTCTGCTTCCATGGGATAAGCAGACCCTGAGAGGAGATTAGCATGTAGGAAAGTTTGGGGGAGGGCTCTTGAGATCAACACCATGGAAAATGTAACACCATAGGAAGGAAGCAGGATTGGGTAGGGTGAGAAGCTGAACTGTGATGTGGTATCAAGGGAGACCCCAGGGAAACTCTACCTTACAGGAAACTGTAAAGCTGAATGGCCTTCAACATTGTCCTGAGTTGTGGCAAAGGGGCTGGGCCTATCATAACTCTTGATTAGTCACTGGATGCAGGATGCCCTGGGGTGGGGGGCTAACAGGACAATCAATCTTTTTCTAGGATTGTGGGAACTTTTAAATTCTCAGTACTCTATGTGCTAGTGAGTAGATGTGGTGGAAGTTTTCTTCTGATTGCTTTAATTTTTAAGTGAAATAGGAAACAAAG